CACACAACATCACAATCCGTACAAAACAGTGCTCTATTTGTCTAATTCCTTTCTCTCCCTCCTCACTCTGTCAGCCACACTGCTGTTTTTGCCATCTGCCAAACACCAGTCACCCAACTACCTCTGAGTTTCTGGTTTACCTGTTGTTTCCACTTCGAATGTCCTCTATCAGAAATCCCCATGGCCTACACTCTTGACAAATTAAGATCTGTGTCAAATCACTCAACTCTCTTTTCAGTGGCATTACTTCTGACCATCCTATTTAAAATTGCAACACTGTTACCTACCTCATAGTCTATCTCTACAATTTCTATTTCAGTGTTTTTTTAGCACTGGTGTATGTTTCTTTCTCAAATCCTTAATCTTTAAATGTTTATTTCATTATTGTCCGAATTTCACATTATATAAACTCTGTAAAAGGAGAAATTTTGGTTGTTGTTATATCCCAAAACTAGAATAGCACCTGGCATGTAGTAGGAGTAAATATATAGGGTTTGTATGTCTGTGTATCTATTTGTTTGCACAAATGTATAGAGAAAGCTTCAAAAGAATAATATCAAATTGTTTCTAGTAGTTATTTCTGTAGAGGTAATGGAGGAAGGATGAAGGGAATTCCTGTTTTTCTTCATGTGTTGCTGTGTTGCTTGAGTTTTATCTATTAAATAAAGTCAAGTTTTTTAATATCCCTGAATCTCTTCCAAAAAGCAGACCTATCAAATAGAGTAGCAAAACCCAATAACTATGAACAATATCTACAACAAAACTAGGCAACAAAGTCTTCCCAAGAACACTAAAATATAAGCAAGTAAGACAAACCATTCAGCTTTAAGACCTATGTATCAGCATATCATGGGAAGAAACTAAAGAAGCAATAGGTCGTCTGATCTGAGAACAAGACTCCAAAGACGACACAGGTACTCATTGGAAAGCTGAGCAGACCACTTTGATAACAGCAGCTAAAACTGGAAAGAATTTTTACATACTTCAATTCACTGGGAAGGACAAGGGTTCTGTGGCAGATCTGAAAAGGTCAGAGAATTTTATGAGCTTTCAAAAGTAACTGGAGCTCCCTTCCAGGAAAAAGTTCTACACCAAAGAGAAACTGCTAGGTGTATATTCCAACATGAGAGAGGAGAAAGATCATAGGAGAAAAATAAAACCAAAGTCTAGAAAAAAAATTTGGGGTGAGGGAATAAGCAAAAGAAGCATATCTCAGAAAATATTAAACAGTTTTTATCACTGTGTGATAGCAACAGAAAAAGGAGCTTCAGGCCCTCAAAAATCTTCTACTCCTTCCTAAAAGTTCAGGAATGCTAATTTCATATTCAAATGAGCAAACAAAATGGATCTTGTTTGAACATCATACAAAATTATATTAATCAATAAAGAAGTAAAATGTAAAACAAAATTCCTACAGTGAAGTATGCCAGAAAGACATTCCCACAAAAGAAATTGTATCCTTATATTTCAAATTGAGCTAAAAGAAATTAACACAATGATAAAGACATGAAAGAACAATATGTATCACAATTAGAAAAACTCGGAAATAAGGTGATTGAATTCAAGAAGGAAAATAAAACACTTTTATTGCATTTTTTGTTTTTATTTAAATATCAGTTAACATGCAATATTAGTTGCAAGTCATACAGTGTATTAGTAGTTAATTTATAGTGAATCAACACTTCCATACAACACCTGCTGCTCATCAGAAGTGCACACCTTACTCTCATCACTTATTTAACCCATCCCCCCACCCAGCTCCCTCTTGGTCACCATCAGATTGTTTATAATTAAGACTCTGTTTCTTGGAATGCCTCTCTCTCTCTCTCTTTCTCTCTCTCTTTTTTCCCCTTTGCTCATTTGTTTTGTTTCTTAAGTTCCACATATGAGTCAAATTATGTGGTACCTGTCTTTCTCTGATTGACTTATTTTGCTTAGCTTAATAGTTTCTAGCTCCATCCATGTCATTGCAATTGACAAGATTTCATTCTTTTTGTGGCTAAATAATATTCCATTATATGTGTGTGTGTGTACATATATATACACATACCACATCTTTATTCATTCATCAGTCAATGGACATATGGGCTCTTTCCATAATTTGGTTATTGTAGATAATGTTGCTATAAATATTGGGGTGCCCATATCACTTTTAATTAGTATTATTTTTGTACTCTTTGAGTAAGTACCCAGTAGTGTAATTCCTGGACTGTAGGGTAGTTCTATTTTTAACTTTTTAAGGAGGCTCCATACTGATTTCCACAGTGGTTGCATCATTTTGCATTTCCAACAACAGTGCAGGAGGGTTCCCCTTTTTCCACATCCTTGCCAAAAACTTGTTTTTTGTTGTTGTTGTTAATTTTAGCCATCCTGACAGATGTAAGATAGTATCTCATTGTGGTTTTGATTTGTATTTCCCTAATGATGAGTGATGTTGAGCATCTTTTCATGTGCCTGTTAGCCACATGTCTGTATTCTTTGAAAACTGTCTATTCATGTTTTCTGTCCATTTTTAATAGGATTATTCACTTATTCACTATTTGGGTGCTGATTTTGATAAGCTCCTTATATATTTCCGATACTAACCCTTCATCAGATATATTATTTGTAAATATCTTCTCCCATTCCATAGGTTGCCTTTTAGTTTTGTTGATTGTTTTGCTGTACAGAAGCTTTTTATTTTGATGGAGTCCATAGTTTATTTTTGCTTTTATTTCCCTTGCCTCAGCAGAACGTATCTAGAAGGAAGTTGCTGTAGCCAATGTCAAAGAACTTACTGCCTGTGTTTTTTTCCAGGATTCTTATGGCTTCAGGTCTCACATGTAGGTCTTTGATACATTTTGAATTTATTTTTGTGTATGGTGTAAGAAAGTGGGCCAGTTTCATTCTTCTGTATGTTGCTGTCCAGTTTTCCCAACACCATGTGTTGAAGAGACTTTTTCCCATTAGACACTCTTTCCTGCTTTGTTGAAGATTAATTGATCATATAGTTGTGGGTTCACTTCTGGGAAAAGAAAACAATTCTAAAAGCAAACTAGAAGGAACACAGAATAAACATGACAAAAATAACAGATGCCTCCAGAGAAAAAGATGAACAAAAGGAGGACTTTTAAAATAAAGAAATGAAAAAAGGCAATGAAAATCCAGCATGTATATACATAATGAAAGACCCTGATAAGAAAACCAAAATAGAAAAGAAGAAAAAAAAAAGAAAACCAAAATAGTATATTAAAATGGTATCAAACCTAAATTATTGGGTTTTTTTTTTAGATTTATTTACTTATTTTGAAGAGAGAGAGAGAGAGAAAGTGCAGGTGGAGAGAGGCACGGGGAAAGAGAGAGAATCTCAAGCAGGCTCCACGCTGAGCACTGAGCTGACAAAGGGCTCGACTTTAGGACCCTGAGATTATGACCTGAGCCAAAATCAAAAGTCAGACAAAACTGAGCCACCCACGTGCTCCTTTATTTAGCATTTTAATAAATGCTGGTATAATAATTACATTTTCTGAAGTCAAAAGACTTGAAATTACATTAAGACACATTGAATATTTGGAAAAATTGCTCAGAATAACCAACCTGGAACATATTTTAGAAAAACTATTGTACTTTGAAGAAAAAGAAACCTCCTTCAAGCATCCAGGCAAAAAAGACCAAATTATTTATAGGAGAAAGAAGTTCAGTATGTCATCGGTTTCGGATACTAATTCTTTATTCCAAAAGAGAATGGATTAATGTGTTTATGGCATTCAAAAATGAAAATGTGAGGGGCGCCTGGGTGGGTTAGTCAGTTTAAACTCTGGCTTTTGATTTCGGCCCAGGTCATGATCCCAGGGTCCTGGGATTGAGCCCCACATTGGGCTCGCTACTCAGCCAGGAGTCTGCTTCTCCCTTTACCCCACCTGGCCCCTCTCCCACTTGTGTGCATGCACACACACACTCTCTCTCTCTTTCTCTCTCAAATAAATAAATACGTAAAGGGTGATGTATCCAGCCAAACTGACTTTTGAGTCAGGTCAGAAACTATTGTCCATACCCAAAATTCAGAAACTGATTTCTTTGAATACTTTCTGAGGATTTTACTAGAGAATAAGTTTCAGGTAGTCAAAATGACAAAGATGCAGACATATTGCCTGGTAGAAAATTTAAGATTCATATGATAGAAGAGAGACGAGGTAGTATGTATAGTACAGACACTATGCAATGTAGGTAGAACAACTCTATAAAAAATGGAAGTGGAATAGGAAGTACATATGAACAGAATAAGCACACCATTTGCTTTATAGTATTAACCAGGATAAAAAGGACAACACTCCAAATCAGATACTGGAGAAGATGGTACAGATAAGATGAAGAACATTATATGAAGATATTTATATCATTAGAACACAACTGCAAACTTCAAATATAAAAAAACCCAAAACTTTAAAAAGCAGAAACACACCAAAAACTAAGACCACAGAGTAAAAAATATTTCATAGAGAATACTGTATATTAAACATAGTATATAATATGCAACACTTTTGCAACATAGTTGAGAGAACACAAATATATACAGAAATAAAATAAAGCAGTAAGACTTGAACCATAACTTTTTAAATATTTAAATATGGGGAGAGAAGGAATAATATAGAGTACAAGGATAGATGCTCAGCTTCATGGAATATTCATTGTTCTATAGTTTTAACTTCTGGCATTATTTAAATATTTTAAATAATTTTAAACTAAAATTGAATTTTAAATGAATTATTTCTAAAACAAACCTAAAATAAGTCAAAATACAAAATTATAGTTAGTTTTATATTTCACCAAGAAGGTTTCTTTTATATTCTAACAACTCAAGATGTGAACTTGGGGTTTATAAAAATAACATTTTATAAATAAATAGACATGGTTCTTGACTTTTTCCTCAACATCTAACAAACACAAGAAAACAAATTTTAAATGAAATGAGTCAACTCAGAGAAATGTTACTCACTATCTTTTCTTTTTTGTTTCTCTAGGAAAATAAAGGAAAGTCTGGAGTGCTTCCCTGTTAAATTAAATAACCTGATCCATATACTTGCACAAATGACATCCATAAATCCTGCTAAATCTGCTTCACAGAATTTTTCCCAGGAATCCTGTATGCTGAATGCAACCAGATCAATTCAAAGAGCGACAATTTTAGGGTTCAGCAAGAAAACTAGTCATGTAAGTCTCAAGTCTGTCAATTTGACTTAAATGTCATTTGACTTCATCTCAGACTTCCCTTCACTATGCTACACATCCTCCTTTATATCATGATTTTTTTTTACTATGCAAATGAAAAATCAGTTACAATTTGAGCAGAAGTACCATTAAAAGAGAATGTTCTAAGGAGAAATCATAACAACCAGAGCTATTAGTAGAGAACCATCAAAGAGAACAGTTCCTGCCCTTTGGTAGACTATAAATCAAGAGCTAATTAAAGTGTCCACATGAAAAAGAGCAGAAATTAGGCAGTCTGTTCCCAGCACATAAGATTATGATATTTTTATATAGTGTGTTTATAGGTAATTTTGCCTTTACAAATTGCATCTTTTAGCTCTTGTGATGATTTCAAACTTTGTTTTTTTTTTAATTTTTATTTATTTATGATAGTCACACAGAGAGAGAGAGCGAGAGAGGCAGAGACACAGGCAGAGGGAGAAGCATGCTCCATGCACCGGGAGCCCGATGTGGGATTCGATCCCAGGTCTCCAGGATCGCGCCCTGGGCCAAAGGCAGGCGCCAAACCGCTGCGCCACCCAGGGATCCCTCTTGTGATGATTTCTTGCAGAAAGTTCTTGCTTTGTTTAGCTTACATGAAAACAGATTTTTAAAATGTATCACAGGTTGATAATGCCATCTTTTGATTTTTGTCTATTTATTTTCTGCAGCTGTATCTAATCCAGGTGACACACAGTAACAATGAAACAAGCTTGACAGAAAAATCATTTGACCAGTTTTCCAAACTTCACAGCGAACTTCAGAAGCAGTTTGCATCACTGACTCTCCCAGAGTAAGGCACTGTCCTCCCCAGTGTTTGCCTGAAGTACTTGTCCTTGAACATAAGGAAAAATTACGGTTATGGGATTTTCTATTTGTAAGCACCACAGCATTCTGACTCAAATGCCATTGAAACTATCCCAGCAGAGTCTGTATTGCTCCCAGAGTAAAGAACCTTTGTCTCATAAAAACAGGACAAGGTTTGCAATTTCTGTTTGCTTCTAGCCATTGATTTTGTAGACTGAAAATTCAGAAGCCATTTCATTTTTCATCAGTTATAAGGAAAATTGTTTTATTTGCCCATTTTTATATTTAATATTTTTTTAGTTTTTTCTATAAAAATAAGATTGAAATTGAAAATGCAGAACTAAATTGGATATATCTACTCTTTCAACAAATAATTGCAATAAAAAGCTCTGATATAATTATTTCCTATACCAGAAAACAATTCATTATTATTATTTAGTATGTAAGTAAATTTTACTAATTCCAACTCACTTTTGTTGTGAATTGTTAACTTTTACTTGGACAATCTAAATTTAATTTATTGTTATGTTCATTGTCAAACAATCTCGACAACCATTGCTTTTGTTCATGTTATAATTTTAAAAATACTAAACATAAACACATTAAGAATAACTGAAAATTACTTCTGTTCAAAAAACTTTTTAAAACTCATCACTTAGAACTAGCCAAATTTAGGTCATAGATTTCAGTGTATACCAAAGGAGTATCTTGACTTTAAAAAAAATGACCTTGCCAGAGATTATATTGGCACGTAGGGAAATCAAATGTTATTTTATTTATACTGAGATTTTTAAGTAAATGGTCCTTTAACAATGTGGAATGCCCATATCTAACCTGACATACTTTATACATGTGGATTTTCACTAGGCTTTCAGGATTTAGTCACTTTCCAAAATATGAATCTAAGTAAAGTTATCAATGGATGGAGAGAGACTGTGCAATATTGAAGAGCAAAGTAGTTCATGTTTATGAGAAAGTGTGCTTGCAGATGTCACAGAAATTTTGAAATGCAGATGCTTTAAGCATCAGGAAGTCAACAACTTAGAGTATGTTCAAGAGATTGAGAGGTAAGGAATGTCATTATGGAAACTTAAAGGCAGCACCAGCTTTAAGAATTACCAAAAAAACATCTGATAGAATAACGGAAAAAGATGTACTAGCAAAAAAAAAAAAAAAAAAAAAAAATCCAGGTTTGACTGCAAATATCAAATTCAACATCAGTGGTTGCCATTGTACTCTACTAATTAATGATTTAAAATATGTTAGTCATTGTTAAGTGGCTGCCGTTTTTGGTTTCAAAAACTCCTCTGTTCTACACTTCAATCTCTGTACTACATATTAATACAACTTGTAAAACCTTAAAAGTGTTAGTAATCTCTCTCCATATGCCTCTTCTCAATTTTCAGCTTTAGTTAGGATTATGCCTTGCTCAACAACTACCACCTGGTATTTAAATTGATTTAAAAACCATTCCAGCAATGTGTATTTGTGTACCGGCAGGGGTGGGGGAGGGAGCAGGGTGGGGGAAAGCAAGGCATATAGTTCCTGTATGCCCTTGACAATATTTGGGTGCTGACAGTCCCAAAGGAGCTAAGGCTTCCAACGATGCATATAAATGAACGATGAAAGCAAAATTTCCTCCGATTTCTAAGCTTACTAAGAGAAGCTCTGCAAGAATTATGTAAACCTGTCCTGGAGAGTATGATCAGAAAGTTAGAGTCATAAAGAATAAAATTTAAATTAGTCATAGTATAGAACAGTGGTCTTCAAAGCACACTGTTTTTATACCTCTGGGTACCTTCCAAGAATACACAGGCATAGGAATGTTCTATAAAATTAATGGTCCTCTTTAAAATTAACTGGCTTAAGAAGGGTTGACTTCCTTTCCCTCTTCTACTTTCAACATTACTTTTCTCCCAACCATCCAGAATCTTATTTTGATGCCTTGTCCCAGAGAGGAAAAAATCTCTGAGAATCAAATAAAAGGCAAACCAAAACATTGGTGTTGGTATTGAAAAAATGAATTATTGTAATGATCACATATCAAATCTGTTTGCAAGTCAAGTGTTACCTAATCTTTGGCCTGAACAAAATGGAGGGAGGACAAGATGGCACTGTCAGATAAAAGATCATAAAAAATCATTTTCACAAAATGTTGCTATATTTGGCATATAACTCAAAAACATTTCAAACAATTGAACAACTTTATTTTGGCTAAATTCTTCAATTCTCTGATACTTAATTATATACAAGATTTTTTAAGTACATAACTCTGTAAAAACATCAGCAAAGGAATAAAATTGATACCGAACTCCATTTTATTTTAACATAAGGAGAATTCATCTACAGATATACAAATGAATATGTAAAACCTGCCCAATCTGTTTATCAAATGCATTCCTTTGTTTTGGTTAATTGTATAGGGTACTAATTGTTGTGATAATAAAATCTGGATGAAAAATGTTAATACCGTAAGCCTTAGAACTGCAGGAAAACCTTTACAAAATAAAATGTCAATTATTTATCATGTCATCAAACATGATTTTGGACTTCCTTAACATTTCCAACAGGAAGCCATGAATAGTTTAGATGGCTCACAGTTATACACTTCTGTATTTGCTGACAGCATTTCACTATCCCTTCATGCCCCTTACACCAGGGAAATATCTACAACAAAGAAGCAGAGGTATGAAGGAGGCAGCAGCAAGATTGCAGTCAGAGGAATATGCTAGAGAGTTCCTAAAAAGATGTATTTATCCAGCAAAATATGTTACCAAATGCTAACCATTAACAGATCATTCCACTTAGTAATTGGTCTTCATCACATCTACCCCAAAAAGAGGAATCATCAGATAGAGCAGAGGAAATTCCGCAAGTTTAACTCTTGAGGAAAGTGATACTTTGTTCCAAAAGTCTAATACCAGATGGAAACATATGCCACTTGGTAAAATGTTTAATTTAGTTGGTGAAGAAATATCTCTAGTGAACCTAAAAGAAACAATACAATCTAACCTTTTTTGAAAATAATGAATCATTAAATTTCAGAAAGCATCATTAAATTTCAGAAAGCATCAAGCCTCCATATATATTTAAAGGATAAAATGTGTGGTCTTCTATAAACACAGTAAGAAACAACATATATATTAATGTGGTAAATTAAATTAAATTAAATTAGTATTAATATTAATGAAAGTTAAAACAGTGCAAGTGACCACAACTATGTTAATGAAACCCTCAGGATTTTTCATGTGTTCCATTTTTTAAAAAATATTTTCATTGGCCTTTCAATCTGATGGTGTAAATTCATGAACAACCCTAAGATGCAGAGGCCAATTTTCAAGCTAATAAAAATACACTTTTTTCTTTAAAACAGGTTTCCTCATTGGTGGCACTTACCTTTTACAAATTCAAACCACAAAAGATTCAGAGATCTAAATCATTACATGGAACAGATATTAAATGGATCATATGAAGTTGCAAACGTATGTTACAATTTACTTTTATATTTTTTTACATAAAATATTGATGATTTTATGTATTATTACTAGAAATATTTTTAAATAATTGATAACATTGTTTTATTCCTATATTCATTCAACAAATGTGCATGCCTAATATGTGTGAAATTCCTGTAGAGGAAACTGAAACAGCAAAAAAGGTATAGCACCTTGATATCAAATAACTTGAAATAATATGTGATTAGTGGGCCATCAGGATAGTAAGTGCCCTGGTGTTTAGAAAATTAAGAATCATTTCTGACTTTGATGGTAGAAAGGATTTGAGGAGAAGAGAACATCTGAGCTGAATCTTTAACACTGGGTAGGATTTTTTTTTTAAGATTTTATTTATTCATTCAAGAGAGACACAGAAAGAGAGGCAGAGACATAAGTGAAGGGAGAAGCAGGCTCCCCACAAAGAGCCCGATATGGGACTTCATCCAGGAACTCCAGGATCACACCCTGAGCAAAAAACAGATGCTCAACCGCTGAGCCACCCAGGCATCCCCACCAGGTAGGATTTTAAAAAGCATTGGCCTAGGGAAGTATTTCAAGTAGAACCAAACAATTTCCTATAAATGTCAAAAGTGAAAAGAAGAAGGAGGAGGGGAGATATCATTAGATTCTATTGCTTTTGTGATAAATTACCACAAATTTGGCAGTTTAAAACAACACAAGTCTATTTTCTTTCAGTTCTAAAGGTCAGATAATGGGTTTTAAGGGACCAAACTCAAGGTGTTGGTAGATTGGATCTTTCTGGAGATAGTAGAGGGAAAAAATTCATTTATTTGCCTTTTCAATTCCTAAAGATTTCCTGCATCCCTTGGATTGTGCCCTTTCCAACAATTGCACACTCTGACCTCCGCTTCTGTCACCGCATCTCCTTCTCAGATTCTTAACTCTGACTCTCCTTGTGTTTACACTAGGCCTATCTGAATAATCCAGGGTAATCTCACCATTTCAGGATGCTTCAGTATTTTATCTGCAAAACCCCTTTTGCCAGGGAAGGTAACATGTTCACAAGCTCTGGGGATTAGAAGGTGAACATCTTTGGAGGGCCATTATTCTGTCACAGAGATAACATGAAAAAGTGCAAGAACACAATTCAGTTGAATCTCAGCATTCTTGTGAGGTATCTATGAAAGGAAGATTAAAACCAGCAAGGAGGTCAGGGCCAGGTTGTCAAGAGCTAGAGCTAAGCCTTAGAGGGTAGTGAGAAAATAAAAACAGTACTATTATCCCAGATACATTGATATTTTTCTCAATAACCTATTATTCCAGATCCTGGCCTCCTTACTAGACTGGAGCTATGTTCTTTTCAATTTTTAGCTTTTTAAATTGTACAACATGTATCTAGGAGAGTCTACAAAACATTTGGTAGAAGTGCACTGCATGGCTTTCAAGTTAGAAAAAGCCAAGGGGCTTCTTTCTGCCAGTTTCTCTCAGGATATTCACTACGGGCACCTCCAGCTGCCCTATAATAAGTTGAGCTCCCTTGGGTCCACCACATGGAGAAACAATTATAGAGAGATCAAATAGAGAGATGCCCAAGGGATACCACTCTGCCAGAGCCCAGCTGAGGTTCCAGCCAACAGCTAACATCAACATCATGTATTTTGAGTGGATGATGACTCCAGCTCCAATCACCAAATAACTATTTATTGGAGACCTCAAGCCAGAATACCATAGGTGAGCTCAGCCAAACCGCAGGACTGAGAGACAATGACAAAATGATTGTTTAAACCAGCAACACAGGGATAGACCACATCCAAGTTACATGGATTTTCATTGTTATATAGCATTCTGTTGCATGAATGTATTGCAATTTGTAGATTCCTCTCTACATAGACATTTGGAATGCTTCCAAGTTGGGATTATTACAAATAATGCTGCTATGAATATTCTTTTACTTGTATGTCTCTTCATGCCCATGGATTTCATTCACTTATGAACAGAATTTCTGGATTTTAAGATATGCTTATTTTCTTTTTTTTTTTTTAAGATTTCATTTATTTATTCATGAGAGATACAGAGACAGAGAGAGGCAGAGACACAGGCAGAGGGAGAAGCAGCCTCCATGTGGGAAGCCCGACGTGGGACTTGATCCCGGGTCTCCAGGATCAGGCCTTGGGCTGAAGGCAGCACTAAACTGCTGAGCCCCCCCGGGCTGCCCTAGATATATGCTTATTTTCAACATTATACACAATGACCAATTTACTCTCCTACTTGTAATGAATAGTGTTACCATTTCCCACAACCTTGTCTATACTTGGTGTCGCCATCTCTTTCTAATTTTAGCTATTCTGGTGAGGGTACATCTCACTGCATTTTAGTCTGTATTTTCCTAACTACTAATGAGCTGGAATATCTTTTCATATGTTGTTTGGCCATTTGGATATTCTGTTTGGTGAAGTGCCAGTTTATGTCTCTTGCCCTTTTTCTATTAAAGTATATGACATCCTCTTACTGATTTATAGTATTTTTCATATATTGTGGATAGAAGTTCTTTGTTAATTAAATATGTTGTAATGATTTTCTTTCACTCTGTGTTTTGTCCCCTTGTTCTTTTTATTATGTGTTCTGATAAACAAAAACTCTTCATTTTAATATAGTAAAATGTATTGATATTTTCTTACATTAGAACATGCCCTACCTCAATGTCATAAAGACAGTTTCCTGTATTATCTTCTACAAGCTTTGTTGTTTTGCTTTTCACATTTAAGCCTACAATCTATCTAGAATAGACATTTTAGAGCATGGCGTGAAATAAAAGTCATCTTATTTTTTTTCATGTAGATTTTGAATTGTTCCAATTCTATTTAAAAGACTTTCCTTTTCTTGTTATTCTGCTGTGCCACCTTTGTGATAATTTAAATATCCATCTAGGTATGTGTCTACTTCAGGCCTCTTTTTTCTATGCCACTAATATCTTTGCCCTTGTGCCAACAGTCTTAATTACTGTAGCTTTATAATAAGTCTGAAATCCAACAGAGTAAGTTCTCCTATTTTATCTTTATTCTTTTTCTTTTTTTTTTTTAAAGATTTTATTTATGTATTCATGAGAGACACAGAGAAGCAGAGACATAGGCAGAGGAAGAGGCAGGCTCCTTGCTGGGAGCCCGATGCGGGACTTGATCCCAGGATTCCAGGATCATGACCTGAGCCAAAGGCATCCATTTTACCCTTATTCTTAAAGAATATTTTGGCTCTTCGTGGACTTCTGCATTTCCATGTAAATTTAAATTTTTTCTTTAAAAAAAAAGATTTTATTTATTTGAGAGAGAGAGAGAGAACTAGTGGGGGGAAGAAGGGCAGAGCGGGAGAGAGAGAGAGAGAGAGAGAGAGAGAGAGAAGCTGAGCAGGGAGCCCAATGCAATGCGGGACTTGATCCCGGGACCCAGAGATCATGACCTGAGCCAAAGGCAACTTCTTAACCAACTGAGCCATACAGGCACCCCAAAAAAAAAAATTTAAAATTTTTCTTGTTAATTCCATGCAAAAGCCAACTGGGATTTTAGTTGAAAATGAAGCTCAATATCTTCCAATCCATTATCATGTACTTATTTAAACCTTAAAAAGTTTTTTTTTCTCAATAAGTATATTGTTATATGCATAGAGATCTTAAAAGCACTTTATTTTACTTGATATCTTATGGTACCTTTTTAAAATTTTTTGTTTCTTTTTTTTTTTTACCAGTGTATACATACAACTGATTTTGTATATTGAGATTTTCTCAACAAACTTACTAACTTCACTTTTAATTTTAATGATTTAATTGTGTTTTTAAAATATTCTGCTTATCATATCGTCTGTAAGTAACAGGAGTTTTACTTTTCTTTCCAATATTTATATTTCTTTTTCTGGCTATTTTGTACTCCATAGACTCCAAATGATGATGGCAGACATGCTTGTGTTATTCTTAGATTCAGGGAAGAACTGTCTCAAGTTTCTCATTTAGTACACAGGTTTTTGTGGGTACCCTTTGTTATTTTAAGAAAGTTTCTTTCTGTTGTAAAAGTTTTGACAATACAGAAAATTTAATTTATCGAATTTTTTTCTGACTCCGTTGCACTGATCAATGATTACCTAATAATAAATGTTTTTTCTCCTTTATTCCTTTAGTGTGCTGAGTTGCACTGATAGATTTTCTGATTTTAAACAAATTTGCATTACCAGGATAAAACCTACATAGTCTAATGTATTATCCTTTTAACGTATTGCTGAATTTAACAATTTCTTTAGCATTCATTTTCACCTTTATTTATGACAAAGATATTCTATCTTATAATGCCCTTACCAGTTTAGAATGGAGGGTATGCTGGCCTCATAATATTAGTTGCAAAGACTTCTTGTTTTTCTTCTTTTCTCTAGAAGAGTTTGTATAAAATTGGTTTTATTTCTTTAATTTGGAAAGCCATTTAGGTCCGGAGATTGAATTTATTTAAGAATTATAGGACAATCCACATTTTCTATTTCTTCCTGGGTCTAAGTTATAGCTCTCTAGAAATTTGTGCTTATTTATTGGCATAAAATTATTCAAAGCGTCTTCTCACGATCTTTTTAACATTTATAGGATCTGAAAAGGTGTTTCCTATTCCTTACATATGTCATTTCCTAGTCAGTCTTTCCAGAGGATTATGAATTTTACCAGTCTTTGCAAAGAATGAAATGTGGGAGTTATTGTCTCTATTATATTATTTTTCTATTTCATTTGATTTTTATTATTTCCTTTCTTCTGCTTCCTTTGGTTATAATTTTTGTTCTATTTATTACATTCTCAAATAATTATTTGTTTATTTTCAACCTGTCCTCACATTTAAAATTCTAAGTCTCCCCTCCCAATCAAGATTTAATTGCACCCCATAGATTTTTACATATGATATTCTTTATCATTCTTCTAAAATATTTATGAATGTTTACTATGATTTTCCCATGATCATGGATTAAGTCTATTTAACCCACTTGAGTTTTATATGTTATACTAA